CAAACTGCATACATAGTAAAAAGGCAAACATCATGAGGTTTCAAAGAAACTAATAGTAAAAATTAGTTACTTTTGTTCACATACCTCCAAAGGAGTTTTGCAAAATATAAGAGGTTTAGGGACAAGCAATGAAAATGATTAAGAAAAAAATACAGGCACAAGTTGAGTAAGTGTGACTGACTCCAGTTTAGAAGAAACAATAGAAGGAACAGAAATAATGAATATTATATTACTGCCTATAACTTGGATGCCATTTACATTCTTGTCATGCAAAAGCAGTAATACACTCAAAAATCAAAAAATGCTTGACTCATAAAAGCAGAACTCTGCAATCATAAATAAAGTGTACGGAACTTAAGGCAACAGATTATCAATAAGCCATGAGTTTCACTACTGTTCAAAACACAGTAAGGCCTTTATTCTATTATTAGAATAGACAAACTTCCAGTAGGTGGACATCCTAACTAATACTTTTAAAGAAAGTTTAATTTTACAAATTTACTGCTGCGTTAAGATGGCTTTCTGCACTTAAGTTTTTTTACGTACAGCATTTCAAAATAACGTTAAAAATAATTTGTCAACAACTCGGTTGTTTATGCTACTGTCTCTAAGCTAGCTGACTTTTTCCTTGTATATGAAGACCAGAACACATTTACTAGAATAATACCACCACAGCTTTTATACCAGCTTCTGCGCTTTTACATGACACTTCGAAAAAGTGAATATTTGACTCCATAAGAAGTCAGGAAGATAAGAATCCCAGCTGCAGAGAATGGAGTTTGTTGAAAAGAAGGATGCTGAAAGGATTCTTGTAAAAAGCAATCAAGAACAAAAAACAGTAGACTCTTCCAAAGGCGGAAAAACATAAATAAAAGGAGGAAGCTATACATGGTAATGACAAAGACTGCTAAAATCCACAGAGTATTACAATTTATGATCAGAAAAATCAGTAAAAAAAAGGACACAGGTGACTGTGGAGAGAGTGAAGAGCATATGCATGGGAACTTGAGGGCTACAGATTCACTCTATGCTAAAGAAAAGAATTATAGCAATACCCATAACTGTAGTTATATGTCTACCTTGCAATCAAAAGGAGCGCTTGCAAACACACATATGCATACACAGAGCATGAGTAACAGCAGGCATAAGAAGCTGAAGCACAGACTCTATTGTTACCTGTGAAAACTCAGAGACATGTACACAAAAACTGCTATGACAATACTACTTGCATCTTTACTAGTTTTTAATTTTGGTAAGAAATTATGTAGGCATGCTTCACTGCAGCTAGACCTTTGACTATAGCGTGCATGTTTCCTGTCTTACCTCTAAGAGATCTCCTAGACTTACTACATTTGTGCAGGCACAAATATTCCCCTGTAACGTATGTTCTGTCTGAAAAATATAACTACTTTGATTACCTCATGATACATCCACATTTCAGTATGAGAGGCAAGTGTAATAATACAAAAATATACTTGAGACAGCTTTAATCTGGTCACAACATGCAACAATCAAAAAACAAACAAAAAAACAAAAATATCAAAAGTCAGCAAGATTGAGGTGAGAGAAAAGACATTACAAAATACCAAAGGTTTCTGTAGATGAAAAGTTACAGGAGGATAGACTTAGGAATTTGCAATGTACTAACTACAAGATTGTTCATACAGACATTAATGCAGAGTAGCTTATTACTCTTGTGAATTCAGACCTTGTCTTAACATCTATTACAGACATCTTATTAAACAGTTCAAAGTTAGGACATAACTGAAGAATTCTGAAATATTGCTTGCATTTCATGTTCCAATATGCATATATTTGTATGCTTGCATACAAATATATTTCCATAGTTACATCTACAGCAAAGTAATTTCAATATTTTAATGCATGTGTGGGAGAAATGAACCAGATAAAACACTTCACATATTTGGTGTGCCCTGCAGCAGTGATTTTCAGCCTGTCATCCACTGTGGCTTCAAGGCCTGTGGATGGCTCTAAGGAATCCACAGAAAGTAACGTAAGGCAAATCCAGTGCTGATATGCTTGAATTTGCTGTACAAGCATCTGCACCTCTACTAGAAAATTTGAGAAGCCTACAAATCCAAAATTGGTGAGCGTAGCCTCAGGAACGTAGAAGAGTTAACGAAGAGCAACAGTAAAGGAAATCTAGGAGAGGAAAAACAACAAAAGAAAAGAATTCAACCCTCACTGGCCATCGTTTAGGCTAATGTTAGTCATAAACAGCACAGTAGAGTATGATGTAAATAGCATTATAGGTGACTAGCTCCGATCCCTGAACCGGAAAGAACTGCTTGCGCCTGGGGTAACTGTCATTTCACAAAGATTTGCAACTTGCATACCCCTTCTGCCATCAAGCGCACAGTAACAAAAAAATTCTACATTGTCTCTCCTCTAAATTAATCACATAATGATTTAAAGCTTTTTTAACAAGAGAGCTGGTCTATAGCCTCTTCTTTCTATGCCATATGACATGGCAAAGAGGAAGACTGATGCACACAAAACAGTACAGCTGCTTTTGTCACTGAAGCTTCCATGTTACAGGCCATGCTTTTAGGGCTTGTATCTGGGCAGTAAATACAGAGGATAAAAAAGCAAGATAAACTACATAGAAGGCATGGAATTAACTTAAAAACAAAAACAAAACTCCCACACTCTTCACATATACAATTTATTTCTAATGAAGGAAACACAGGGTTCTCATCTAGGAGAGAGGTCCTCTGAGAACACCACGGACCATGGTGTTCTTTTTGGTTTTTTGTTACTCAAGTCAACAGATAAGCTGTATTTTAGAATAATAAACAGAAAAAGCTCATCATTTAATCAAGTTCTGAATATTAGAAAAATTCCAAGTATTGGATAGACTTATATAGGTTATGTCTTACTAAAGGGAGTAGATAAGGCATGGTTTAAGTACAGTCTCTCCTAGGGAACAAAAACATAGCTAAGAAACAAATCAAGTTCCTATATTACCATTAGTTATGCCTTAAATTGTACAGATATTGAAACCAAAGTTTACCTAAGATGTTTATTTTGAAGAATGAAGTTAAAACACTAGCAAGAATTACAAAAAAAAAAATTAAGCAACTCCAGATGCTATACCTGATTGGAGACATAATTAAAAAGATACTGCAAATTTACTGAATATAAAGTTCAAATCCTACGTGCATCTCCTGTAGCATACAACTCCCTCCCTCCAAAACCCCCACAAATAAAATACCAGCACTACTACATACTTCCCATACACCCTAATTTCCCATATTTGGGAATTATTTCCCATAATTCTCCCATATTTGAAGTACTTCACTTCCATATTAGGTAGAAAATTAGTTTTGTCATACGTAAGTTCTTCTCCTACAGTTAAAAATAAATTTGTAGTATTTTCAAGCTACACATCAGTCTTAGAATTACATTTTTTCTACATTGATTGCCTTCCTATAGGAAGGACATCCTATTAGGGGGTAATGATATACATACAAATTTTGCATCACAAATAGATATTTCTGAAATGTAAGGTGATGTTATACCTATCATTACACACAGCATGCAGTGAGCGGCACAGCTATTTAAAAAAAAATACCTACATCACTTAAAATAGGAGCTCTACTGATGTGTTATTCATAGCATGCTACAACAAATATACTGCTAAGACTGCTGTTATGAAGTATCAGTATGCAGGCTTCTTTTCCCTATAATTCTAATACTTTCACAATCCAGTGATGAAAGCAAATATACCATGCTGACTCCTAAGAATTTTTACTCTCCCTCCTTTTCTCAAATCTTAAAAGGTTATACAAACCATAAATAGCTAGTGCTTTTATTCTTGACTGCTTTGCCCTTGCATCAAATGAATTCTTCTCCTAGGAAATGCAAAACACTAGAACTGCTCTAACTAGATTGATTTGTCCCTAATAGACTTTATTAATAAACAGTGTACCCTTTTAGGGTCATACTTTCTGAAATATCATATAATTGCAAATTATCTTAAAAGCTAGAAAGCAAACATAAAAATTTGAAATAGTAAGTTAACTAATATGCACTATATATACACACTATAAAAAGAAGGAAAAACACTTTTAGTGAAGGATGCCTGACTCATGCAGTAAAAGGAGCTAAGTGAAAAACTGTTTTTTAACAAGAAACATGATTAATTTGCCTAATTTTCCACCAACCGGTAAACACCTTTCACTTCAGAACAAATTTTATAGTTTAACCTTTAGTAATGTAAGATAAGAACACCAAAACTCTAGAGATGCAATAAAACCATTTTTGATTTTTAATCTAGGTGTACAGTTTAACACGTTTGAAAAGAAAATTGCACTCATTACTTTAAAACAATCTTTTGATATTAGTTTACAGCACAAACTGGTTGACAATGTATCACTTTCAGTAGATGAAATCTTTGCCTGTGCATATGCAACTTGAAGGGAAAAAATTTATAGCCTTAATATTTTTTTAATCCATTTTAATCTCCCTCATCTATAAAAACACTTCGAAACATCAGACATAGGAATCATAGGCACTTACACTTTTTTTTATTTTCTCCTAATTTTCATGGAACTAATTCTCAGCATAACTAAACAATCGGTGTCATTTCAAAATAATTTAAAAAACAACCCATAACATTATAACACAATGAGTATTACCTCGTTCATAGCAGCGTGAGCTTGGGATTCTATTTAAAACAAGTGAGTGCCTGCACATACACACACAGATATACATACATGCAGATAAAGTAAAGAGCATCATTTTCATTTAGCTTTTAAAAAACAATTGTCATAGGTTATCTACACTGACGAAATTATTTTTAAAGAGGTCCTAATAAACATACAAAACTCTGATTATCAATCTTTTTTATATTTCTGAGGCACTTGCAATTGCTAGATTGCTGAAGCACTTATTCTAGAAGAAAGCATACCCTATATATGGATAGTATCTGCAAATATGAAATGAAAACACAGTTCTTACAACAGAAAAGTAATAACCTGCATGAACTGCTGTCTGATTCATTTCCTTCTTCACTCGCTCTATCATCTGTTTCTTGTCTGTCAAACCAACGCGCACCTCCACAATCTTCTGTTGAGAATTCAAATGTAGGGACTTCCGAGGTGGATGCCATTGGCCAAGGAGGTGAATTCTGGAAATCCCGTTGGCTGGACCTTCTGTAACCAACTGATGTTAAAGGTAGGTTACCTGGATCTATAAACTTTGTGCCACCAGTTGTGACATTTTGTCCTCTATTCCAGAAGTCTCCCTGGTTGTTATCAACTGCAGAAATAGGGGCTGACGCCTGATGACCAAACCACCTCCATCTGATTTTTAAAATCTGCTTCACATCAAACTCTTTACGAGAACCAGACATCCTTAGTGAAAGCAAATCGTCTAGGCAACAGGGTAAGAAGCAGCACACATAAAAGAAGATTTGTGCACCCAACCAAGACAAGAGAAACACATGCTCTCCCCGTCTGTGGCAAGCAGATTTTCTAAGGGAAAAGGAGGAGGGGGAGGATTGCATTCACATAAAAAAAGGCTTCTTTAACGCTATGTTATTTGAATAAAAACAAAAAGCAAAGGGTGATGAAAAATCTTGGGATAAAAAGAAGGTGAAACAATCACCTCAATCAGGAAAAACGCTAATCAGTTTACCCTAAGAGTCCAAGGTTGTTTCTATCGCTCTCCTCTGACCATTAGCTTTTAAAAACAGCAAACAGCATTCATTAAAGCCCTTTCAAGAGCTGAATACCACCCCCTTTTCTTAAGCCACAAATGACAGAGAAGTAATTCCTGTATAGCATCTCAGAATCTCTGCTTCTTATTCTATTAACTCTTGCTCTACACAGGGGAAAACAAATTGCACAAAAAAGCAAATGAAATTCTTTCTGCACTGTTAGAGAATAATTTACAGAGAAGACTGAAACCAATCCAAAGATCACTGATTGTACTGAGGGGAAACTGAACTGGAAATTATTTTTTCCATTAACAGGACATGCATAAAAAAAAAAAAAGCCTGGAAGGCTCAAGGGACTACTAATGGCTTATACAGTCTTTCATCTTGATGCGCTTTGATTCAAATCTAGGTCTGCAGTAACTGAAAATTTCTAACAGTGGTTGCTTAGTAGGTCTATCTGAAATGAGCCAGTGGTTTCCATTCATTTATATATCACCAAAAGCATAAGCAACAAAAGCTAACTGGTCACTATCCAAGACACCCCCTACAAAATGGGCAAAAGACCTTTGCTTCTTTCTCATAATCTGGAATCAGCTGTTCCAGACCAAGTTAAAGGCATTGTGATGGAGCAGTGTAGAAAAAGCTGTATATTTTTGAGTCAGAATTCCCTCTAGATATGTAGTTTACGTAATTAGAATTAGATGCATTAGAACATCCAACAAAAGTATTTACCTGAATGAGGAAAAGAAAAATCAAAGAGACAAAACACACAATGACTAATTTATATTTCCTAATAAAAATAGTCCATTTCCTCTACTACATATGAGGCTAGTGAGGTTTAAATAGCTGAGACTTATTCCAATCAAAGGGAAACAGTAGCAACGATTTTCAAAGAACAAGAAGACACTGGATTTTATCAGCCCTTGACAACCAGATCTACATTTTCAACCCTCAGAGTGCCGTTAATCTGTTCAACTCTCTAGGACAGAAATGCAGTAACTTTATAAAAGTGCCTCACTTCTACCTACACTTTCCATCAAAAGTGAAAGTTACTATCTCTCAGGTGAATGTTAGGAGCTACAAACCATGCTTCTGTGATCCTGTAATTAGAATATGTTAAAATTTCTTAGAAGGGGCAATGTGAAGAGTCCATATGAAAATTTAAATAGAGTTGAACTCTACCACCCAAAAAGCAACTGCACAGTTTCGTGCCATGAGTAAATCATGCTATTTTCTTAGGAACTAGAAAGCTGACAAGGAAAGTTTCAAGCAGAGAAGCTCACCTGCCATTGCTCAGGGCACAGTTATTTATGGAAGTGCTTCTCATATATGCTATCTAAGATCATTTATATAGAAACAGTATTCCAGTCAGTTCTCTGTAAAGAGATCCTACATTTCAGAATTTGTATCTTCCTAGCTTCCTGGTCTACCAAAAGCTATATCAGATGGCCTTTGAAGCACGCCCAGAAAACCCTTAAAGGTATTTGGGAAATGAGAAAATTGAAGTGGGTGAGCATACAAAGTTGTAACCATCTTTACCAGGGATTTCATTTAAGTGCCATCATGCACAGAAATATTTAAGAAGAATAATGATTCAATATGTCAGCATAAAAATTGAATGGATGTTTAACTGAACAGATAGGGAATCCGGTCCCTATTCTTGTGCATATTTAACTATTTAATTTTCAGAAAGCTTAACTGCTGCACTGGAACATCATCCTTTGTGTAACTGCAAGTTTTGCAAAACTATAGCACAACTCAAGTAGCAATAATAAATTTAAAAAAACATTTTATCCTCTCATTATGCTTTGTGTTTCTGTCTGGGGTTCAAAGGTGGATGAGGCAGGACAAGAAATGATGTTTTGCATTCATTAACATTCACCATAACAGTAATAATTTAATTACCTATTTACTCTAACCTTGAAAAATAAGTTTTAAATATTTTTACTTCTGTTAGTATGGTAAATCCAATATACTTCAGGATTGACCTAGATTCTGTTTCTTGTATAACAGAATCATTTAAAACTCAAACCACCCCATCACAAACGTACTAAGACAATGACAGATTTGCCAGCTCTCATGCTTTTTCACTACTTCCTCATGACTTACGGGAAATCCAGCCTATTTACTGCTTCTCTGTTGCCAAGCAAATGGCTCAATCGGAGATAATAAAAGAAAATGTGCTGTAGTTTTCAAAATAGAAAATGGAAGATATTTTTGTCTCATCTTTCTAAATGATACAAACTCTGACTCCTCTACACTCTCCTATATTACAGTTCTAAATCAAATTTTTAAACAGACTGCAGCCTAAAATATTTCAGTTTCACATAATTTAAATACAAGTTCGTATTACAAATGACAAGATGAGCCAAGTGCCACTTAATTCTTCAGTTTATACTGACGAGACTGCTGAGAAATAATTGAGAGCCTCTTCCTGTTCTGGACACTCTTCACTATTCTGAGTAGTGTGACGGTTCTTGTCAGGCTCCCCCTGCTGGGAGTCACCACACTTTTGAGAAGGTTCTCTGTTTACTAGAGCCACTCAGACCTCATCTTTGTCATCTCTTCTGCCAATGAGTGCTCTCAGACCCAAATGCCCACACCAAAAAAAAAAAAAAAAAAAAACCACACACACCTTTCCAATGTATGTATACATTTCTGAGAAACCTGCTAAAAAAAGTAAATTGGAAAGCACCGTTTACCTCAATGAGAACATATGTAGGGTGGAACCCAGCATACACAGACTAAGGTTTATAAAATATTTTTCCATTTACTAAGGGAATAGGTACACTGATCTAAACTAGAACAAAGAAGCTTATGCACGTTTTCTCTGACATTTTGCCACTGTTGCTGTTGAACAACCATTTTCTATTTTAATAACGGATCATAACAACATTTGAAACACACGTACACTGTCCTGTTTATGAACATAAGGTTCTTTAAGCTTACCGTGAAGATAGTTTTGAAGACTCTGGCTTTAACCTTATAGCGTATCTGAGCATTTAAGTACATACCTTCCCTTATATGACTAGTCCGACAAAATAATAAATTCCCACAGGCACTTGGCATTGGGGGACCGTTTGCCAAATTCTGCCTTCTGAACAAAAGGAAAATATTTAAATCCATACTGTATGTTACATTTGCAGCAATGTCGGTATATCCTGTTCTTGGCATTAGCTAACAGCTGTATACGTTGCTCATTTCGAGGTCTTCAGAACAGTTTATTAACCCAGAGACGTAAAAAGCAAAAACTGTTTTTTTTCCTCTACTAGCCAAGAAGTTTACTACATTCAGGTTCCTATATACTACATATAACCTGTTTATTCATACAGGTGTAAAAGGAAGGTAGCAGTCCAGCATAAGAGTTCAAATTTAGACAACATTTTTACTCCTGTGATACTTCTACGGCATAAATTGAGGGTGGATGCATTTTAAATAAGCATATAAAGTGCATCACTAGGAAATATGGAGAAATTATTCTTTAAATAAAGAGGTCTGAACTCTTTTATTCATTATGACTTAAATTTTCAGTAGGAAATCATTAAATTTTCAAACAAATATACCTACTGAAGACATTTTTGAGGTGTTTTTAAGATTTGAATCTCAACATCGCTTTTCATGGTAACATTTTTTCCTGGCACTACTATGTTTTGGCTTCAAAAAGCTATCAGCATCCAACTTCAGGGCAGTTCAAATATATTTTCAAAGTAATTATTCTGTCAAATGAATTTAAAAAATGATCCCTTTTTAAATCTAAGGTCTAAGGACAAAAAAGCTCAGCTAGTTCTTAGAAGATGTTAACGATCATTTTAAGTGCCAGTTAAGAATAAAAACATCAAAATAACTGGATATAGGTGTTTTTTTTTGACTGGAAGAGAGTTGTTTCTCTTCTGAAAAAACACTAACATTTGCATTTAAATATAAAAAAAAATACATATTAGATATAAAGAAACTCATTAAGATGTGATAAGGTAATATACTACTGCCAGTGTTTACAGGCCCTGGATACTTATTCTAAAACAGAAGAAAGGTTCAACAACTGCAATGTGTTTGTTGATTGATCAAATACATATTTACGCTATTAAAAGGCATGCAAATGTTTTACACTTTTGTTAAAAAGGGAATTTAACTTAAAAATACTAATTTGAAACATTAAAATATTTGTCCAAAGAAAACTGCTATAGACAAAACTCCAAATGTGCAATCCTGCTTGTATCTATGTTTATGTTACAGAAAGAAAACTTTTATCTTACTTTTTTCTTCCCTATTCCTATGCTCCAGCCCAAGAACCATGGAGACAGTTTAAGACTTCAGAAAGTTAGCTATGTTCATGCTCTACAAAACAGTGGTTTTTTTGTTTTGGGGGTTTTGTTGTTGCTGTTGTTGTTTGTTTTTAAGGGTAAACACTTCTGGTTCATGTTTGTGAGAAGCCCCTTGCAGCACCAACAGTATAGTTCATCCAAGACAAGAAGGGAAAAACAGCTACAGTTACTGACTATATGTATTTAAACTTATTGTTCCAACTGGAGAAAATAAGCTTCTACCAAATTAGGGGGACTGCATCACAGCTTTTTGCCACGTGGCACTACCCATTCCCCTTGTGGGGAAGAGTGAACTGTGTGTTGAGAAAGACTGATTTCAGAACACCCAGCTCAGAAAAGACTTGGGCAGAACAACAACCTAGTTTGCTCTTATTTTATTCAGATAAGAAAACAAAAGCTTTTATGGACAAATAATTCCATATATAGCAGAAGACTATATTGCCTGCCATTCCAGATTTTTTTTAGCTGAAGCTTCACAGTGGCTCACACAGAGAAC